TGGATTTTCGAGGCTTCTGCCATGAAGTCTCCTTCAGGTGGTGTCCATAGCCTTGGGACCTTTGTTTTCCTTGATGAAGATGCAGTCACTTCCCTCTATTTTCTTCTCAAATCATCATATGAAAAGGATGCAAATAAATCAATGGTCCTGACCCAATGCAACACCCTAGCGATAATACATTCAATAACTGCTTCCTTACTCTTTTCCCTCTCCTTAAAAATTCTTGCATTTCTTTCTTCCTATACCATCCAAATGGTTGCTTCTCTTGTGATTCTCCACATAATTCTTCCTATTTTTCTTGGTCATACATAAAGTTCCAGAACTAAATAGACTAGCCACACTCAAGAGTAATGCCCACTGCACCCAAAAAGAGAGAAAAATCATTCCCAAATGCAAGAAATAAATGAACGGGAGATTGGTAAATGGCAGCATGTCTCACCATTGGATGTACCAGTTTGGAGATAAGCACCAATTCAGTATTCTCCTTTGTAAAATATCCATGGTATTAATCTTCTCATGGTACAGCCCCCAATAAAAAGCTCCTACCTTAGGGGGAATGGGATTAGACCACTCTTCTTTTGTGGGAAAGGACAAAGGGAATGGAGTAGGGCTTTTTGACCCTAACCCATTTGACCGACCCGCTTGAAAACCCACCCATTTAAATAGTGGGTCAATATGGGTCAAGTGACCCATTAGCTTCAGGGGAAAAGGGTCAGGCCTCTCTCTCTCTCTCTCTCTCTCTCTCTCTGTTTTCTTACCACGGCTCCATCATTCCAAGCAGATCTAGTGGGCACCATCACTTGAAGGCATCATTGTTTTGATTGGAGCTGCTGAGCAAAACTTCCAATCAACTGTTGAACCTACGGTGCCATCACCCAAATGATTATCATCTCTCTCAGCTTCATCATTCTGAGCAAAAAGATGAAATCAACTACTTTCTGTAATGATAAAAAAAATCAACTATTTTCTGTGGTCCATCAAAAGCAGTTCCATTCAGTTGGAATTTCTTCCGCTGCTGGTGGTGATGTAGCTGCTACCATAACTCCTTTGGGTATTTGCTTGTTTATGTGATCTTTTTTCTGCCATCATCTGATGATTTTGTAATTTTGTACCGATCCTCTCTCTCTCTCTCTCTCTCTCTGGAAAATCTAAGAGAAGGATTCAAATTTTGAACCTTTATAAATTTTACCAAATTTCACGAACCTTTATCATTTTTACCAATTTTTTGAAAAAAAAATAGCCCTAAATCCCAATTAAAACCACCAGAAAAAGAAGAGACTGAAAGAAGTTTTGATATTGGTTCCCTCTTATAAGTGGAGATGGAATTGGCAGATGGAAAGAGGTCCTTGAGAGTCCCACCCATATGTCTTCCCAGAAAGATTTTATCTCTAGTGCAAGCATCATACCTTATATGATTTAGAAATCTCAGCAAGGTACCATGAATAGCCTTCCATGGCCGATGTGGTAACCCCGCATCCCAGCCATTCTCTATCATTCCACGAGTGCTTATCACAGATTTATGCCATGACTCTCATTTTCAAGGTGCAGCCTCCATAACTTCTTTCTTTGTTATTTATTAGAAAGGATCAATGCAAATCCTATTGATTGCAGAGGTTCCTAATGCAGTGAGACATTTGAGAAATAGAAAAAATCATCTCACTGTTCCGGTTTCAAAAGCATTCTCCAGGTTGAAATGGGGATTATTTGGTATTAGGCCTGATTAGAAGGTAAAAGAGTAACGAATGTTTGCAAGAGAAGCAAAGGAGGTCATGTCCAAGCCAATGGGGATTATTTGGTATTAGGCCTGATTTAGAAAAGTAACGAATGTTTGCAAGAGAAGTAACGAATGGTTGAAATGGGGATTATTTGGGAGAGCTTTTGGAGTTGTGTCTTTGGCTCTTTGCGATCATTGGTCTATAAGTGGTGAGGTGAAATTCGTGAAGTCTTGTGTGGTAAGGTTGTGGATTGGGAGGGCAAAATTTATGTCTTCTGGTTTGTTGGGTCAGTTGATGTGGGGTTTTTCTCAGTTGTGGTAGTATTTCAGATTCTGGAATATCGGATTGTGGGCAGTGTAGATCTTTCTTTTCTTCTCTCTGGTGACTTCTGGTCACCTTTCTTGTATTTTCTTTTTTTGTTTTAATAAATTTTAGTTTACTAAAAAAATGCCTTGCACCAACCAGTTAGGACGTGCTGCATTGACCTTGTTCTATAATTACATTACATCAATTCGTCATATCTAGTGGCATTCCTAGATATGAAGTGGGGAAGTAGGAAGTTAGGAATGAGATGGTTCTTATTAGGTGCATCAGTATATGTAAGTATTAAACTAACAAAAAGAGGTTTGGTTCAAGATGAATGCTCTAAGCCAAAGAGAGCAAGGGTGAGCAGGCCAGGCTTATCACCTATGCTGAGGGCTTTAGTCTGGGCCCAGGCCTGAAATATAGGCCTGTGACTGGGCCTCATTCCAGGCCTATGATTACATGTGTGATTTTTTTTTTGGTACAGTATTACATGTGTGATTTAGATTTTGAGTGTCTTCTGATTTTGAAAATTTTAGATTTAAATACATGTATTTATATTTTAAATACATGTGATTTAAACTTAAAAAAAAAGTAAAAAGATGAATAAACATTTAAAAGTTTTGGTGATTCAGATTTTGTATTTTTTGTTGTAAAGTCATAAATGTCTTACCTAAGTGATTAAATTTAAAGGAGGGGAGGTAAAAGGGGAACACCCCTTTTTTTTATCAAGGGTCAATTTCTTAAACTACCCTTATGGTTTTGCTAATTGACTAAGTGTACCCTTACTGTTTGAAAGTTGACCAACACTACCCTTACTGTTTCTGACAACTGACTAACTCTACCCCTGTTGTTAACATCCGTTAACAGAAAGGCAAAAAAGACTATTTTACCCTTTATTCTTCTTCAAATTTTCATAATAAAACAGAGAATAGGGGAAAGAAACACCGAACTCAGTGATTTCAGCACTTACAACTTTTTTAAAACCCAATATTGCCCTCGTACCCTGAGCCCCCACTCACTCTCTTCTAATACCTCCCCCTCCCCCTCCTCCGCCTCTGTCCCTCTCTGGTCTCTTCTCTCCATTCTCAATCTGCAGATGCAAACAGATACCGATCATCGCTGCTCGGCAAACCCAACTTTGGCTTGCTAACGCCTCTAGAAATGGCGGAAACGGATCGTTCATCTATGCCACTGCTCCACTTATACCGATCATCGCTGATGAATAGCAGCTTCAATCTTGCTCTGCTCTTGCCTGGAGTCATCAGAGTGACCAAGATTCTGCATCTTTTCATATTCGACGGAGCCTAGATCGTCGAGAGCACTGCCAAGCCAAGAAATGAAATCGCCCAGGTTGAAAGCCCCGAAGAGCTTCGAGAATTCCTGCAATATGGCGACGAACTTGGCAGGTAACCAGTCATCCCCCAACACAAAGTTGGAGACGGTGAAATTGGCAGCATCTGTAGCGTTTATCACATGGTAACCCGGCCACGAAACCCTGTTCGTTGTCACTGATCCTGCGCCTGTATTGTTGTATTCCGCGTAGTAGAGTGTGCTCAGTGCAAAGTCTCCAGACCATGCTATCCAACCAGCTGGATCTATGAAGCTATCAATGAAAGATTGCAGATAGACAGTCCTAGAGTACTCTTTCCATGGTCGTCCTAGATAAGAGCTTGTAGTTCCATTGCTAGAAACCAAGTCTGGAGTTGCCATGATATTACAGTTCTGAATGGAAATTCCGGTGTTCTGGTTTGGTCTGTTCTGCCTTGGGCGATCAGGGCATTGAACTGTCCTTGCATCGGCAGCCGGGCATAAATGTTGCAGTTTTGGAAAACAGCGGCGGCATTTCCAAATATGAAGTCTGCAGTTCCATATATATCACATTCCCTGTAGAACTGCCTGAGGGAATGGGCATATAGGGTATCCTGGTAGCCTTCGAAGCTACAGCTGTAGAAGGTTGACAAGTCTGCTCCATTCCGAACCGCCACCGCCTGATGCTTGATTGCTCCGGCAGTGTTGCGAAGTGTTATATTTATTGCGACGAACCCTTGTCCAACCACAGCTGGACAGAGGCGGAGGGGGAGGTATTAGAAGAGAGAGTGGGGGCTCAGGGTACGAGGGCAATATTGGGTTTTAAAAAAATTGTATAGGTCACATGGGGTCACATGTGCATAAATTGTGACGGAGCATTAATGGATGCTAACGACAGGGGTAGAGTTAGTCAATTGTCAGAAACAGTAAGGGTAGTGCTAGTCAATTTTCAAACAGTAAGGATACACTTGGTCAATTAGCTAAACCATAAGGGTAGTTTAAAAAATTTACCCTTTTATCAATAACAGGAATCATTTCATTAAAATACAAAGGAGGGGAGATAAAAAGGCAAAACCCCTTCACCTCAAAGAAATAACAAAAACAAACACCCCAAGAGAGAAGTTAACACAGTACTAACAAAACCACTACACACAAACTTCACTAGACTCCACACCCCCACTAAAACGGTGAAACCAGCAGAAGCCACAAGAACAACACAAAAATTCCAGCTGAAAACATCTCAAAATTTGCTTGAAGACTCTGCTGCTTTGGATTCTTGACTGGGAATAGCTTTGCTCCTCAAGTTCCCCTTCTTTGCTTTCTTCACCTTCTTGATAGGCTTAATACAAAATAATCCCCCCTTTTAATCTAGCAAAGACTTTCAAAACCTGAACTGCACAATTAGTCTTTTTTACTTATATAAATCTTCTAACAGTGTTCAATTTCCTGTCAATCATCTGCTCACCCTTTGATATGGGCTGATGGGTCTTCTTTTTCTTTGGGTTACATCTTATGCATATGCATGCTATGCTTTATTCGTGATTTTTCCTTGTTAATCAAGTTCTGTAAGTCAAGTTGCTTGATTTGATTAGGAATTCTTGTTTTTCTGTCTTGGGAGTAGTACCAAATATGTTTTTAAGTATTTTTGCTAAAACAAAAGCTCCATGACAGGTAGCAGAAAGAGCCCTCTTCTTGTGGAACAATGAACACATTGTGGGTTTGATTGCCCAGAACCGCAGCGTGATATTCCCAGTCATCTATGAGGCACTTGAGAAGAACATACAGAGCCATTGGAACGAGGCAGTCCATGGGCTGACAGAAAATGTGAGGAGGATGTTCTTGGAGATGGATAAGGAGCTATATGAGCAATGCCAAAGGCAATATCTAGAGAAAGAGGCAAATGCTAAAGAATTGGAGGAACAGCGAGAATTGACTTGGAAGAGACTGGAAGCTGTTGCAGCAAAGTCTGGGGGAGAGGACATGGTTATGGTTAACTGATTAATTTGGGTTTGGAACTGAAAGGTGATGGGCTAAAGGGTGATGATGTCCTTGTTCCATTCTAGTGTCATTTTTAGATCTCGCACTGGGCTTATCAAAGAAGCAAGAGAATGGTGTAATTTAAAATTGTATCAAAAATATGTGGATAATGTGCTGCAGATTATGAATGGGTTGTGAAGATTTCTAGTAAATTTTCTCTGAAGAAAGGGGAGTATTGAATCTGTCTTCATTTCAAACAGGTAATCTGTAGCACAAAATCACCTGTTTCCTGAAGTTTGTCAAGGGTCATGAATCTGGAGATGTAAGCAAATCAGTATTTTCTTCCTTTCTTCCAGTTCTACGGATCCTAACTACCAATTATTCCTGTCTTTGGCATTTAATATTTCCTTTTTGGTTAAAAAATGGCTTCATTGAAATACAGAGTAACAACAATACAAAGCAGAGGATCAATAACAAAAACACAGAAACTAGACCAAACAACCTACCACTGACTCAAGAAAAAACAAAGAAAACAAAATCTAGCACTAACTAGTATTCTCTACCAAACTAATAGAACATTCATCCTTTCACTAGTCGTCTAACCACTTGGGAGTTAGGAGACAGTCTAATCTCGTACCAAATGAGCATACCCATGACAGGCAGGGCTGCATGGGCTGCTCCATTACAAGATCGATCAACGAAAACAAAAGATATCCTAAAAGTCTTTTGTTACAGTGCTAGACTTGTTCAGCAAACACGAAATGAGATGAAAGAGCAGTCGCTTTCCAGTTTCCACTACCAGCTTGTTGTTTACACCCAGCTTAAGAGCAAAACAAAGACCTTCCAAGATTTTATTTCAGCTTGGAAGGAGAAACAGCCCGGTTTTTTTTCCACACTTCGCAGCAACAAGGTTTCTACTTGTATCTCTCAACACCACCCCAAAAGCTCCAGCTGAGGTTTCTTTAAAGCCTCCATCTACATTAATCCAAAAATATCTCCCCAACACAATTATTAGTTTTTGAAGGGTTTATTCCTCTCCTAACCCCCATTTTTTTTGGTAGTAGAGACAAGCTACAGAAGCCTGGAGGAGAGCCCGAGCCTCTGGAATCAAAGGAAGCAAAATACAACAACTCTTTACAAGGCCTATTATCCTCCCTAGAGCTAGAAGAAAGGGAGCCCTTCTATTCTAGCCTCATTTTCCAGCCAGTCTGCTGCTTGGTTGGCTTCGCTTTATTCATGAAACTACTTGATTTCCATTGTGGTGTTATTACATTTTTCAGATAATCCATAATGAACTTAGCATCTTCCAAAGCCACCTTTTCCCAATATTTCTCCATTTTTCATTCAATTTTCTCCCGATGCATCATTTGCCACCAATACATGACTGAAGGATCCTTGTAGGAGGGCTTTACTTGGCACCTTTCCCTGAACTAGTAAGCAAAGGAAAATTTTTATTTTTGGTTTACATAATTACATTAGCTATGTTTGGTTTTAAGGAAAATGTAGGGAAAGGATGGAAAAGTTAAAACCTTTACAAATCTTGTATAGGTTTCCCTTACCTTTCCCTTCTTTTTCCCTACCTTTTCTAAAGGTTTCCTTTCCTTTTTCATCCTTTCCCTACTTTTTCCTTCAAACCAAACATAGTCTAATTTTCAAGATTTTCTTTATAATTCTTTAATCGTCGTCTATGCTTGGTTCCTCACTCGTAGAAATCAACCTATATACACTGACTTGATAGAAAAATTCCCACTTGGATCCTCTCCCCAAATAAGCGTGTCTTTTGTTTCCATGTACGGTTTAGGTTTCAGAGAAGAATGATGAATTGCATTACTGAATCTGAGAAATACATCAGACATTTATATACTGAAAGACAAATTCAAATCAAATTATATCCTAAACAATCATAATCCATCTCAACCTTATCATAACCACAACCCAATCTTCATATGTTAATCATCCAATCTTATAATATTGCAGTATTGGAATGGAGATTGCTTGGACCCTATTATCTGTATTGAGGTTAGTTGCTTGTTCAAGCATTTATCTCTTCCAACACTTTATTTTCTTGATCCATCTCCAATCACTTTCACATTTGGGTTCCCATGCAAATTTGAGATGGTTTACTAAAAACCCAATTGTCCATTCAAAACCGTACCCTTCTAAGTTCCTTCCATCCACCTCATTCATTTCTTTATTAAATTTCTATTTCAATTTCTCAAAATCCCTATCCAAGCCCATGACAGGGCAATATTTGGCTCCTACTCCAATTGTGGGTACAATCATGGTTCAAATAACCTTGCACTTTTTTTTCAAAATTTCTTTGGGGCCATTTTTATGTTATTTAATTATAAAAAAAAAAGAGTTTACAAAAATACATTCAAATAGGTGTATCACTGAGGAAAAATTATGATATGATATGTCCGATACTTTGAATTAGGCGTATTGTATTGATACTTTAAACCTTCGGTATAACCGCTTTTTCAATCTCATTAGTCATTCCTTTCTTTGATGTACCCTTTGGTGTAGCAATTCTTCCTCATCAACCCAAGTTGTTTGTTCAACCTAAGGATTTTTTTCCTTTTCCTTATATTTTTAAAACAACCTAAGGGTTTTAATTGCATGAAGTTGTGGGTTGTGGCCAAACGAAAAAAAATATCCAAAAAAATTGGATATTTCTCCCAAAATTGAATTCATTCTTCCTTTAGACTCAATTTGGGAAGAATATAAATGCAAATATATACATTACAAATATAAGGTTTAAAAATATAAAATACAAAGTTTGCACTGTATATATTTATATCCGTACTGCAAGTCTTCTTTTTGACAACCAAACCAAACTTTTAGCCAAAATAGATTAAAATACATTGAAGTTCCAAAACTTCACCTTAAGCTTAATTTGGGAAGAGTACAAAATTATAAATACAAACATGTATTATGCAAAACCTTGTAAATGGTATTTCTAAACCTTGTATTTGCACTATTATCAAACCCAGCCTTAGGAATGGCAATGCAATGGGGTGGGGCCAGTTTTCAATTACCTTGTCCCCAATCCCAAACATATGTATTGCACCCTATCCCTGCCCCATACCCCGGTGGGACTGAAAATCCCAGCCCCAGCCCCATATTCCCTGTCTTGGCCCACCCCACCCCACCCCACCCTAACCATTCCTAGTAAAAACCTATTTTCTGAAAAAAAAAATAGCATACACATGTTATATAATACATGTACAAAATTTATTTTATACATTACATGATATAAAATAATATATATTATATATTATAGGTGACATATTATAACATTTATATATATAATATAAAATATAAAAGTCTATGATGCGGGAAAGATATGGTACCGGAAGAATTTTGAGCAATCAAAACCCACCCATGGATTTTAATAAATAGGGTTTCTAGCAGATAAAGACAACTGTTTTCCCTGAATATCAATAAAAGATAATATTTTTATAAAATAACAAAAATAAGGTAACTTTTTTTGAAAAATATCAAGGAAGGGCAATGACATTGTTCATCGTCTTCCTCTCATGCGAGAGGCGGAGCAAGGCATAGGCAGTCATGACATTGTTGCCATTGCTACCCGAAAGAGACAACAACATCATTCTCTTTTCACGGTTGTTGTTCCAGTCTCAAGCGGTTGTGACCGGAACGTGAAGATTGCACAGGTGGTCGTGACCGGTCCTGCGACCGGTCTTAAGACCAAAACAGCAACTGCACAGGCGGTCATGGCGTTGTTGCCTGGAACACGAAGGAGAACGGTCACAACTGTCATGACCACCTGCCTTTGCAGATCTAGCAAGCCCGATTCGAGATGGAGACAAGCTGACGATGATAGAGGTAGAGGAAGACGATAAACTGCCACAGAAGAGGAAGACGATGACAGAGGTAAAGGAAGGCGATGCTCAAATCACCAAAGCTCCGTCCCTTCATCTCAGATCGCCGCTTGCAGTCACCTGTTAAAAACAATCACAGAGGCCAGGGAAGACGATGAACATTGTCATTGCCCTTGATATTTTTCAAAAAAAAGTTACCTTATTTTGGTTATTTTATAAAAATATTATCTTTTATTGATATTTAGGGCAAAAAGTTGCCCTTATCTGCTAGAAACCCTAATAAATAATACCTAATTGATTACCATGTTTATAATTCCAGTTGATTGGTCAAAAGTTTTTTGGATATCATATCTTTCTCATATCATAATTGAACCCTATAAAATAACATATTATACACATATTGCAACATATTATCTATGAGGGTGGATTCAGGGTTCGGGCAGGGTGGACAAAATACCACCTCCACCCCATCCTCAGTTACCAGAGGTTCAGGTTTGCCCAAAACCTGCCCCAAACCCGATCAATGGTCTTAAAAATTGCCCCGGTTTACATTCATAAAAAAAAAAAAGAAAAAAAGAAAAAAACTCCCCGGTTTAAGGCAAAGCCTGAGGGGGTTGATTAAATTGCTATCTCTACTTTACCATTCACTTTATAGACCAAAAATCCCTAGACTTTTATTTGGTTCACCTCAAACAGATTCAAACTTACATAGACATATAAATAAAATCAAACCCATACCCCAATTAACAAAAGTGGACGAAAAAGGCTCGAAAGGAAAAAACAAAAGAAAGGAAGATGTGAGTGAACAAAAGAACAAAAATCTTACGGTCAATGAGTCAATCAATATCTCCCTACAGTCATTTACCTATGGCACTATCCAACCATACATTACCATTTATCAATCTATGACTATTAAGAGACAAAAGAGCACCACAGATGCTTCCAAAGTATATGTGGATCCAAATCTCTGATCCAATAGAAACCGTCATTGCCTCATCCAACTCTATTTCACTCTTCTTTTAAGGGATTGATAAGAGAGGGCTGAAGCTCTTTTTAGCCTCAAATCCGTTTCACCCCAAAACTACAAAAACATCCACACATCTCATCTATAACCTTAACCCTACATTCCTTTTCTTGATAAGCAATCTCTAATTTGTTACTGCTCACGGGCGAGTGAATACAAACAAGGTTTTTAAAACTGGATTGGATAAGAAACCGTTATGTAAACCAGTTCTTGGGTCAAATGGTCCGATCATTTACTTCGAACGAATGGCCCATTATGACTTAAAAATAATAAATAAATAAATTACTAAAGACCATTATCCCAATCGGCGGTCCAACAGTTTAACCGCCCAAGTCAGCAGATCACTGGCCAAATCAATGATTTATGGCCAAAAAACGGTTTTAGGGTGAAATGGAACAGATTACCTGCAGCCCACAAGCAAATGCTCCATTAGCCTACGCAGTTGTTGAGTTGATTCAGGTAAAAAATGAAGTGGGCGTTTATTGTTTTTTTTGGTTGCCGGTTCCAAAAAATAAATCAAAGGATTCTTTAAAACCAGATTATTTCTTAAACATAAGAAACATGTTTTTGATTGTATATGTGTTTTTTATTTTCAAAATTGAAACTAAAAACATATTTTCATCTCATTATTCAACATTATGTTTCATAAATCATATAATTTTTATATTAAAATTTTTATTTATTTTAAAAATCAATATTTTATTGACTTTTAAAACATGTATTGTTTTTTTAAAATAAAATCAACTTGTTTTTTATTTTGAAAACAAAAACAAGGTTCAAATAACATGATTTTTTTCTGACCCGTGGCGATTCGGAAAAACAGGAGAAAACAAAAACATCTGATAAAAAAAGAAAACAAAAACATCCATGATTCATGAACGCCCCCCGGCCGCTTGATTTTGTTTCTTCACATAAAAGCGTGGTTCATAGGATATTCTGTACTCTTATCCTCTCTCTCTCTCTCTCTCTCTGAAGCGTATATCCTCATTGCTTAACAGGCAGCGAGAATTATTCTTGCTATTTTATTTTTTACGTTAACGTATGTTAGCTGCAGGAAGGGGAAGAATCGAAGGGAATAGAAGTCGCTTCTAGGTTCTGGTTATTCCTTTAATTAATTCATGATTTGTCATTGATTGTTGGGGAATTTTTTCAATCTCGCTGACGACGAGGAGGTAGTTCTAAAGGAAAAGGAATAGCTAAAAGAGGGAAAGCAGAATGACCAGCGGCACAAGTGGCAGAGGTGGGAAAAGGGCAGCAGCAGCAGCAGCGCTGCAGAAGGACGTGCCATGGAGAGCTTCTCCAAGTGGGAAGCCAGTTCCCAAGATACACCACTCTCCCATTCTACGTGTGCCCCAGAACCCCACCTCCAATTACGCCCTTGCTGTCATGAAGGTTTCTTTCACATGTCTCTATCTCTGCCTGTTCTCTGATTTTACGTCTTTTTATGGAAGTATATTTCACTTTTATTTTCTGGGTTTTATTTCTGTTTCGTTATTCCGTGATTTTTTCTCTTGTTGGGTTCTTAATTTCTCGATGCAGCACCCCGATCCAATAGGAGCAGGATTCGCAATGGAAGCTACGCTGGAAGCAGCAGGACCTGATTGCTTGGTCCCTGGTCAGATTACACCCATTCGCCTATTGGGTTTGAAGGTTCTCTCTCGCACATAGCAATTGAATACATGAATGAACATTTTCTGGTCCACCCATTCATTCTTACTGCAGTTGCTGTTAGCTTTTTTTTGTAGAATTTAAGCTATGAATATGAAACTTAAATTTAATTGCTCACAAAGATCTTAGTTCTTGGTAATTTAATTGTGTAAGAGACTACACGACTCAGTATTGAAGAAAGATATTCATCATTTTGAAGTCACTAAAACTATGGAGTCTAACCATTTAGAGATGAATAGAGATAATATTGATTAGAGAAAAGCAGCAAGAAACTTTCAGCATCGGATTAAATTGAAGTAGTTGTAAATTTAAAGGGATTAATTTGAATTAACAACTATTTATGTATTGCTCTTTGTGCCTTTTGCTTTCAGTATCATTCGAGATAAGGATAATTCAAAATAATCATGGATCTGGACCAAATTCCTTGCATTGGCTGAGCAATGACCTAACTTTCTTGTTCTTCTTCACCACACTTTTCCGTTTAATTATCATGGACTTTTCTTTTTCAGATACACTTCATGCCATGTGATAGGTCCCAGTCAAAGCTAGAAAGGAAAGACTATTCTTCTTAAGGTGAGAATAAAACCATAAGGTTTATTTAAATTCCAACTGCCCATCCATGTGGTCGGATGGTGCTTAAATACAAGAAATTCTAACTGTCTACCACTGAGATAGCCTCAAAGTAAGCGATTAGCCTTCTAACTACATAGCCGATCCCTATGCCATCTCATAATAACAAATTAACAAGAATAACAAACTAACCTATTTGGCTGATTCTCATGTCATGGCAAACTAACAATCAACAACTTAACAACCTAACYTCTTGACCGGTTCTTGTGGCTAGCAACCTGACCTCCTTGACCGATTCCTGCTCTACTGGGCCATTGCATGGGCCATGCATGATGGCTTTTATTCTACGTACTTTGGGTTGTGCGTAGACACCCTGCTTTTATTCTACGTTCTTTGGGTTGCGCGTAGGCACCCTGTTCGACCTTCGTGGCCCATCATTGCCCCCATCTTGCAGATGGACCTTGTCCTCAAGGTCCAGATTGATGTACTTCTCGCGCAGCTCTTGAGAATTTTCCCATGTGGCATCTTCGTTGGGAAGTTTCTTCCATTGGACAAGGCTTTCTTCCACGAAGGTGGATCCTTTCTTCACCCAGCGGGTATCCAGAATGGTTGTCGGTTCTGTGACAAGTTCTCCATCCTCATTTATGGGCGGTAACTCGGTGCTAGTGGCAGTGGTTTCGCCCACCTGCCTTTTGAGTAGGGAAATATGGAAAACTGGGTGGATGCATGAGCCATCGGGAAGTCGAAGTTTATAGGCCACCTTGCCGATTCGTTCTTCAATTTGGTACGGCCCATAATAGCGACTGGCCAGCTTGTGATAGGCTCGCCTATGAACAGTCTGTTGTCAGTACGGGTGGAGTTTGAGGAAGACCAGATCTCCTACTTGGAATTCCATGTCTCTTCTTTTGGAGTTAGCCATTTGGGTCATGCAGTTAATTGCTGCATGTAGGTTGATTTTGAGTTGCTGCAAAATGGTATCTCGTGAGAGCATGGCTTGATCTATCTCTTCTACCGGGGATGTTCCGCCTTGGTAATTTGGAATATGAGGTGGTGGTCTTCCATAAAGGGCTTGAAAGGGCGTCATTCCGATAGAGGAATGGTAAGTGGTGTTATACCAAAATTCTGCCCATGGGAGGAACTCCACTTTCGAGGTTGCTGGAAAACAAAGCAACGAAGATACTGCTCTAAACAACGGTTGACCACTTCAGATTGTCCATCAGTTTGGGGGTGATAGGCGGAGCTCATGTGCAATTTGGTACCGGACATTTTGAAGAATTCCCGCCAAAAGTGGCTGATGAAGATAGGATCTCTGTCGCTAAAACGTCTTTTATTCTACGTACTTTGGGTTGCGCGTAGGCACCCTGCTTTTATTCTACGTACTTTGGGTTGCGCGTAGGCACCCTATTCGACCTTCGTGGCCCATCACCATGCTCTATGCTGGTCTTCTAATTGTATTTTTATTCTTTTCCCATTGACATTTATTTTTAGCTTTTCTTTCTTCTTCTATTGTTGTACAAAACCACTAGGAACTAGGTGCATAGGTATTTATAGACTAGGAAGAAGATCAAGATTATCATAGTTGCAAGTGACACCAATAAGGACCTCTCTTTGGTTTCCCTCTTTCCTCTCTTTTTCTTTTCTTTTTTCCCTTTATTGTGTTTTGTTTGGAAAGGATAATTAAGTGGTTATTGCATTAAATTAGTATGATGAAGACAGGATCTGATCTCAGCTTTATAGTTTGCCTTTACAATGCCTGGGAGCTAAAGTCCTTTACACTATACCTCCCTCTACGAACATAGGACCGATTGGAAATAACCTGTCTTCTGTTGCAATCTGCAATATATTTCAAGGTGAATGCCCAACCCTGTAAATATGCCCAACATTGGCACATAAACACCTGTTAGTGGTGTTAGTGAAGGGGTATTTCAGTCTTTGTACTTGTTGAGAATGCTGATGTGTACTGTTATGTTAGTTCGAGTGCCTCTTACTTAAAGAAGGGCACTCAAGTCTTTTTCAATAAGTCAATAATATAATAATAGGTCT